CAGCTCTTTCTCAGGTGAGCCCCGTGTCCTGACAGATGAGGACATGAACTCTGGTTTCCTTATGCAGCAGGGAAGTTTCCCTACCCAATAAGCCAAGTCCCACTCCCAGGTTCTTGCTGCATTTGGTTTTCATGTCTGCCTCGGTGGGCTTTAGCCGGTATCCACTGCCCTATCCATGCTGGCGCGGTGGAGCAGGCAGGGCTTGGCGTGCTCCATCCTGGCGTGGCTCTGAGTAGCTCAGTGTCAGCTCCTTGGAAGAGAAGCCTGTACGATTCTAATTTTCTTTCTTTGGTATATTAATTTCAACCAGATTTTGTCAACTCTCCAATAGGAAAATAACCTCAGCGTGCCACAAACCGCATCTTGCAGAGCATCATGTAGATTTTTGGGTCTTTGTACTGCCAAGACGTGCACCGAGGGCAACGTGACCCTTCACAGCAGTGCTCTGTCCTGGCTTTGGGAGACGGCTCCTGCTGCTTGATGGTTTATATTCCCGGGTGAATCACTTGCTGGCGAGCCTTGTGCATGCCTGGGTGGGTTGGAGATGCTGCTGCCACTGCTGGAGGTGGCCAGCAGACCTGCCCGTCCCCTCCTGTCCCCAGGGCCAATGCGTCGCCCTTCCTCCATCACAGTCCTGCTGGGAAACGCGGTTCTTGCCTCTTTCCTCTTTCCCCTCTCCATACTCCATTGTCTGTTGCAGGGTGTGGGAGAGCAGTCCTGGGCTGCAGGATGGATCCTGGTGCTTGGGTACGGCCAGGCAAGGGCCACCCGGGGTGTCCAGCGGAGCAGGAACAAATCCCGTTCCCCAGCATGAGCCGCTGGTGTCACTCGGGCAGGGCAAGAGCAATCCTCTCAGATCCAGAGCGGGCCCCGACACACCATTATTGCGGTTCCTTCCTTTTAGTAATGCGTTTCAGGTCAAACCAGAAAAAGGCCGGCTATTTCACAGAGCTGTGAGCAAGCTGGGGCTCCTCTCCCCGCCGTGAATGTTCGTTCAGCTGCTGCGGCAGTCGCAGCCCACAACTCGGCACTCTTAGGACCAAAAGCAACTGGTCCCCACCAGAAAATGCAAACTCTCTGTAGAGCATCTGCCCCGGCGGTGCCCCTTCTCTCTGTGCGCTCATACCAGGGTTTGAATTTGTTTGGGCAAATTGCACGGTTGCATTATTTCCAAAGACACAAACCTAAGATTTCTTGGGGGATGACGCTGCTGCGCTCCTGTCAGGGGTGCAAAGGATGGAAGGTTTTATTTTGGTCACACCATTGTGTAGTATATGTCCAAAAAATCTCTCTGTCACTGCAGAAAGAGCTAAGTGAGGCTCCAGAAGGGAAAACAGGACACGGCGGGTTACATGGGGAGCATGCAGCGGTGGAGGTGATGGGCGTTTCTGTGGCCGCGGCAGAGCCAGGGTGCGAGGAAGGGCTGGCCGCTTTCCCAGGCCAAGGTGGGACGGGGCAGCGGGGGGTTTTGGCGTGGGGAGTAATTACAGAGATTGAGAGGGTGAAAAATACAAAGGGGGAAGAAGAGACATTTAGAGAGGAGATGTACGATTACTGAGGATGAGTAATGGGGTGAAAGTAAGAAGTTTATTCAACACATCACTAACCTTTTTGGACGGTAAATTCTCTATGGTTTCAGATTAGAGTTGAGGGGAAGCAGTGGAACAGTCATTTAAATTCAGACCAAAAAACTTTATTACTCTCTATAAAATCTTCCCAAACCCGTTTTCCTGTTCTTGAGCTGAACAGAGCCAATTCTGTGTATTAATAGCTAATTCTGCCCATAGAAATGTTAAAAAAAAAAAAAAGGAGAAGTAACAGAAATGCAAAGCATGAAACTCTGCCCTGCTGGAGGTTGTGCCCAGGCTCCCGCGAACTCTTTTGGGGACACAGCACCCGTTGTTCACTGCAGTGCCAGCCGGGCACGGGGCTGGTCGCACTTCCACCACGCAAGTTAGGGACGTCGCTTTTCTACTGTCCATGGGCAACTGCGAGAAGGCCAGTGCCTTTCCCTCGTGCCATCCTCTTTCCAGTGAGTGAGGGACCTTGGGCAATCTCTTCTTGGAGGCATCAGAGCTGAAGACCCAAGTTCAAGTTTTGTGGGGGTGCTGGGGAGCTGCAGGGTTCGGAGGCTGCCGGCAGCTCTTAGAGGAAAGGTTCGGGAGGACACGTACTCCGGTGTTGCTCCTTGCTGCCCTACGTGAGTGGTGAATGCATCAGGGGCTCTAGGGCTCTGTCCGAACTGTGTAAAGCCTTCGCAGAGGAAAATGATTCAATTAGAGATAGGTTGCTTTGACAGCATCTCAGATTCATGCCACTGCACTTTTTCCTCCCTTGAAAAGCGGTGAATGCGTCAGGGGCTCTAGGGCTCTGTAGCGTCCGAACTGTGTAAAGCCTTCGCAGAGGAAAATGATTCAATTAGAGATAGGTTGCTTTGACAGCATCTCAGATTCATGCCACTGCACTTTTTCCTCCCTTGAAAAGCTGGTTTAGATTTGGGTTTCTCTTTGGAGAGCATCAGTTAAAGCTTATGTTCCACCTCAAAAATCTATTCATTTTCCTTGCTTTAAAAATTAAGTGGCTTGGAAAAAACAGGAAGAAAATACCAAAACCTCCTAAAATGCCCAGAGGAGGAATCTACAGTCCACTGAATGAGCAAAGGCCAGGCATTACAAAAATTACTGTTTTCTGCCAGGTTAATGAAGCCTACAGCTACAATGGGGAGCTCTGAAGAAGCAGCCCTGTATGGCCATTGCAGCAGGACATCAGAAGTGAAGATTGTGGGTTCACTGGGCATCACTAGGACAGAAAGGGCAAAGGGCCACTTTCATGTGCTCTGATCCTTAGGTTTTAACTTTCGAAGCAGTAAGAAGCCTTCCAATGAAAAGTATTCTGAGAAAACAAACTTTTTTTATTATTATTACTGTGTAGCTCAGAAACACGGAGTCAAACAAGCATCACCTTTCCCACTTTGCTTCCCACTTCTTCCCTGACCCAGTCCATTTGCTTGCTGCTAGCTGGTTTTGTTGGCAGTTAATCTAATTAATGTACAATTTTAGCACTGGCTTCAGTCAAGGTTGCATTTCTCCTTTTCCTATGGTTTTCAATGCACTTTTTGCCTCCCCGGTGGGAGCTGGAGCTGCAATCGGGTAAGAGCAAGCTAGCTGAGCAAAGCAGGAGCTGGGCGATGCTTCGGGCAGGGGAGCGGATTGTAGGCGCTGGGCAAGGGTGAGGCTTAAGCAGGTTTTTGCATCGCCGGCTTGCAAAGACACAGGGGCAACGCCCTGCCGTGATTCATTAGGGAAATGTTTCTTTATTAGTTTCTTATTAGTAACAGTCATTGATGAAACGGTGCTGGTTCATTGCTCAGCTTGGCTCTGTATCATCCTGCTGCTTGGATGGCCCACGTCGCTGCGTCAGCGGGAAATAGTTGTGCGTGCTGAAGACATCCTCACAAAATGCAGAAAGTGCATAGAAATGCTAACAGAGCCAAAGCTACTGGAGTTTTCTCTCCATGGAAAAAGGAATTGCTGGTTGGCTTTTTTGTTGTTAGCGTGAATGTGATCTGGTTCCCCCATCTGACCAGGGACCTTTGATTCTTTCCAGTCTGAAAGGTAGTGTACGTGTATACGTGTACGCACACACACAAATGGCAGGAATTAAGGAACCGTGCAGATATACCCACAAACATCTCTATTAATAATTTCCAATTGTAGCCATATGAAGGAGTCTTATGTCTCAGAAACTTGAAATTACCTTTGGTGAGCTTCTGATACAGATCTTGGCGCCATGTAACTGGGCACTTCAAACATTTTTACATTTCTTAGTTCTGGAAGTTATTCCCAGCCCTTAAAGTCAATGTAATGTCTGTTGATGAATGTTAAGGAATGAATCTCCCTTTCTGTAACACACTGCTGTCTACCTCCCTGGTTTTGAAGCTTGGATAATAAAATGTAACGGGATTTTTTTTTACCAAGAGCTCATGGGTTAGTTCACATTTCATCTCATGAAAGATTGCTCAGCCCTTGGCAGAAGATTTTTCTGGCTCAGAGAATGGCTTTTGTTCAAGGGCCTGTAGCTTTACCAGTAGAAACGGACATGCACAAGTGGATTCCTTGTTGCAGGAACGGCTGCCTCAGTTCTCCCGGGCTCGCTCTGGTCACGGAGCTGGGAGGAGAGGGCTGGGGAGCTGCGGTCAGAGTCTCACCGCTTGTACTCTGCCCCTTGTATTTGGGGGTCCAGCTGGACTTCCTCATGTTCTTAAGAATCGTATAGTTATGAACAAATCCATTGTAATAACTCTCTCCAGGTATCAGTGTGTTTTCTTTCTCGTCTCCGGTGTCGCGTAGCAATTCTGAGCATAGCTGATTACCAGATACCCCAGATTTTGCTGCATTTCAGCAGCAGTTCAAGTGAGTTCCAGGCATAAATAGTGTGAAATGTGTTCAGTGCTTTGCAAAGTACTGAGAGGCGTGACAGTAAACCCTCTCGCCTTTGGCACATGGCTGAACTCAGTGGAAGCCAGCTTCTGTGCTGCAAGAGGATGCGACTGGCTGAGCAGGATGAGACCATCTGCTGCTGTGGCACCGAGGCGCTGAACTTTGCTGCTTCCTATTGTTCCCCTTCCCTTCAGCCCGTAATGTTGAGGTGTTTGCTCCCACCATTCATGTAAGTAGCAAATGGACTAGCCCAGCCTGTTTTCAACACATAAAGAGTAAGGAAGTGTAAAATATGAATTAATTCATCATCTTAGAGCGAATGGGAAAAGTGACCATTGGGAGGTGAACAAGATGAAGGATGGTTTATGCCGATTGACAAATAAGATCCTTGTGGTTTTTTTTTTTCCTGTGGTTAAACATAATGAAAGGGCAATGTTGTTCCCTCTGCGTTCATTCCTCAAATCTGGAGTCAGTCAACAGAGGATAAATAATCCCGACTTCAGATACTGTCATACCCACTGCTCTGAATTTTTTTCCCCCTTCTTCCCTTTTCTTTTGCAGATGTTGATGAGTGCCAGGTCCACAATGGGGGCTGCCAGCACAGATGTGTGAACACCCTTGGATCTTATTATTGTGAATGCAAGCCAGGCTTTCGCCTGCACACAGATGGCAGGACCTGCATTGGTAAGTCACAGTTTTAAATTTCTTGACAATCTCTAATTCTTCATAGCCCTTTCCCTATGTGTAAAAGCATTGTACAAAAAACGCTTACATTGGCTGACCCACTCATATCCATCCTCTGTGCAGGGAATGGGAGATGATGGTGATGGATTGCGTGTTCCTTTGTTTCTCAGGATCCTGGTAGCCTTCCCTAACCTATTTCTATTGCTGGGTTCATAACGTTTGCTCTTCTTCAGTGTGGACATGTACAATTTTGACTTCTTTGCCGTTCCTGAATTTATTCTGATTCAGGAGAATTAACTTCCAGTGCTTTGGTGCTTCTGCTTTTGATACAGGGTATATCAGATACGGCATTTTCAGAACAAATACATAAATTAGATATTGTGAAAAGGTTCAAGTCAGTCTTCATTTTTACCTTAATTATTTCCCTAGTTCTCATGGTATGCGCTAGGTGTGACAGACAAGTGAAAATAGGCTGTGTGTGGAACTGTGGCCATAATAATCTCAAAACCCTCTTCCCTGGGATATTAGTCATGCGTCCGCTTCGATGGTGCGTGTCCAGACATTACACTTCAGATGCCAGGTTTGGCTTACAGCTAATTTCTGGGCCAATTTCTTGAAATATTGTTTGCCTGCCCCAAACTAGAGAGTCAGAGACACCGGGGTGGAACTTGGAGTCTGCTTTCCAGCATCTGCTGCTGCTGTTGTTTTATTAAACCACTTCTCCCTCACAGCTTTATTTGACACATTTTTCCATTTTTTGAGGGATATTTTCGTACAAGTGGAAAGAATTCCTGGGCGATGGAATTATAAAGCATTTGCTGTTTTTTTCTCAGAGTATAGTCATGTTCCAGAGTTTACTAAAAACGACTGTGTGAGCCTGTGTGTTCCAGTTGGGAATGGTGATGTGAGCAGAACAAAAGCCATCTAAGGAAGTGGTACCCACCGTGCTCAGAGCAGCACAAACCGCACATCTTTCCACAACTGCCCCTACTAAGTGACAATACTCTAACAAGCGCAGTGAGACGTACGCTTAAGGTGCGAGTTCACCAAGTGCCCCATATTTCGCTGGAAAAATGCAGAAGCAAAAGGATCGCAAATAAAGAGCCAGTCATTCCCAGCCCACTGCTCCAGCACTGAACATGTAAACTTGTGTTCATTGCTGCTGTTTGCATGGAAGTGTGTGTGGTCTGTCATCTAATAATTGTCTTCATAACATGTAGTTCTCTTTTTCATGGTATACAGTGATTCTGCCGCTGCTGCCTTGTAGAATAAAACAGGAGACAATCTGAAATAAGGAGTGCTCTCAGCAGGGTCAGCCTCAGAAGGTGAAACAATTTCCAGAGAAAGTATGAAAGGGATCACTATGGGGAGGAATCTCTTGTTTAAAAGCAATTTCCATCCTTTGCTTTCATTCTTCAGGCTTACCCGCTCACGATGGCTGTGATGTGCAGAGCATTTCTGCCGGGATCCGGGCAGGCAGAGCTTCCCTGCTCCATGCTGCTTGTGCTGAGCGGTGCGAACCTGCTTTGCATTACACTTCTGAGCGAGTATTTGCCATAATGTGCACAGTGCTGGAATTCATCTGCCAAAATTAAGGGGTCTCTAGTCATGAAACCTGATCTGCTTTGGGAGTAACTCAGGCACTTTCTGGGAGCTCTGGGGAGTGGAGCTGGCAGGATCTGCTGTTAGTTGAGCGGTGCCCGTACCCCTGTGATCCACAAAGTACACGGAAAAGTGGATGCAGACCAGGCAGAGCGAGTGAAAACTCTCACTACATAATTGTCCAGTGCTGTTTCTAAAATAACAACAGAGCAGATCTAAAAATCTGCCTTTTTCGCTTCAGGACTGGTGGCTTTTGTTCTTTGTGTGTGTGTATATATCTCTCACACCTTCCTAACAGCTCTGTACTAACCTATTAAGCCAGTTGGGTGGAGGGGTGGAATTAAACATCTTTTCCTTGTAAAAACTCAGAACAGAGCACAGACTTAGAGGTTACCCCTCTGCCAGTGTTTATGGCTGCTCTCTATGTCCCCGCAGACGTAAGGTTGCCTGGTGCCACGAGTGCCCCGTTTGATGCTTGTTCCCTGGTGCACAGCTTTCTACCCCTATGGATTCTGTATGGCGGACCTTAGCGCCAGAGCCCAGCAGCTGTCCTCCCCGCGTCTGCCAGCTGCAGTCACGCACAGCAGCCCAGCGTGATGGGGTTTGAGTTTACACAACTCTGGTTTGTGTAAATACAAGCTATTTGTCCCCTTGGAACAAGGCCACCCCACAACAGAGCCCAGGCAAGTGGGCTGGTGACAACGGGGAGGCCACCAAGGGGATGCTCTCGCCCCGGGTTTGGTTGTTGCAGCGGGATGCGATCTCCCGTTCGTTACCTTGGCCGACACGCGGACAGTGAGCCCACGAGCCACGGTGCGGCCGGGCGGCTTTCTGTGGGTCACTTCGTAGTAATCCCGGGCCCTTGAGCATGCGCTTGCTTTCTGTGGTGTTTTCACAAGTACATGCAAGTGGTTCTTTCCTTTAGCGCTCGGTCTACATAAATATTTACACTGCCGAGTCAGAGGCTTTGCTCCGACTTGATCTTGGAAATCACACAGTTTTTCTTAAGCCAGCATTCTTGACAAGAGTTACCAGGCAGCGAGCGCGGGCTCAGGCAGCGCGCAGGCAGCAGCAGCAGACGCAGGAGACCTCACTCAACACGCCTGCCCTTCACACTTCAGTTTTCGTGTTTCAGGAGTGCTTTCCCAGCACTGCTGGGGGAGAGGAAAGCATTTTCTCTGGCTAAATGCTGAGCTTCAGGCCAGCTGTAACAGGAAGGTAGAGCAACACGACCGGGTGGTGGAAAGCAGCATGAGCGCCCATCAAAGCCGCGGGCGTGTTTGGGACCCATAACAGGGTGTCCCCCAGAGCGGAGAAGCTCTTCAGTGCGTTGGAAGCTGAGGGTGGTGCAGAAAGGAGGCATGATAGCCTTCCTTTGTGGGGAAAATGAGATAGTTGAGCTTCTATCCTGGTAATGAACTGCTTTACAGTCTTTGCATTGGTTGGTACCTACGAAGAGATCAGCTGTGGTGTACGGCAAAGCTGGAACTGTAGCAGGATGGCGCATCGGTCAGAGCAGGAGTGTTTGCCTGGGCAAGGAACCTCCGTTGCAAGGAGCAGAGCGGAGACATTGCAGTGCCTGGCAGCTGCTTTCTCGGGCTGAAGGTAGCAAAAGGTACTGGGTTTTGCTCAGGAGGACCTGAGCCACGTTTCTTTGCTCCTGTGAAGTTCCAGGCACTGACTTGACTTCAACTAAGGGAGAGATTAGGTTAACTGATAAAAGCTGTGTTTCTCTTCAAGTTGGGCTATCCTCTAATTTTGCTGGACAGGTAAGATTTAGTGCTGCTAAAACAGAAAAAAATTGCCACTAAATTAAAGGAATAACACTAAGAATAAAGAGAACTGGAGACAAGAAGACTCTCCCATCCATTCCCCCCTGCTCCAGAACTGCTGAGCCCTTAGAGGCAGGGGAAGTCGCTGCAGGTGGTCTGAGCCAGGGCTGCCAGGAGGTTTGCCGCTTAGAGCTGGGTCAAGCACGGAGATGGGCTTTAGGAAGCTCCCGGCCGCAGCAATACCGCTTTAGGAGGCAGTGAGCAGCAACGCAGGCTAGAAAGCATTTTGGAGACAGAAAAAGACGATTGCCGTGAAGTTGCCAGGGAAGGTCTGTAAAACCACAGATCTAATTCTTTAAATGTTTTCCGATCCCCACAAAACCCACAAAGGCTTCAGTTAATCAGCAGCACTGCCTGAAGCTGAGCGCTCCAGAATTCCCCTGCGGAGGCTGGTGGCTGTTAACCCTGGGAGTGCAGGACCGGGCAAGATGCTCAGCTCTTGGAGGGCTGGACTCAGGGTGATGGGTCCTTTTCCACCCTCTGGCTGAACTAGTATTCCAAGCTGGTGATGGAAAGTCGAAGCCTATTTTATTCCAGAAGATGGCAAAGAATTGGAAAACAGATTAAATCTTTTGCTACTTTCTTTTGATGGCTTTGCACCCTTGATAGTTGCTTGCACCTGTGTGCTTAATATTGCAGATGATAAAGCAGGGCACAACGCAGGGAAAAATCAGCAAAAGTTTTCCGATATTACTTCGGCACCTTTAAAAGCAATTTCTTTTGAAGTGTATTGCAGTTCCATGTAAATAGCTGTTTAGATTAGCACTTGTGTTTTGTAGGACTGGAAGAAACTGAGGGTGTTGATACCTTTTACAGCATCAGCAGAGCTTGGCTCCATGCACAGTCCAACAGGGGATTCTTAAATCTCATCTTCGCCATTGCTTGAAGACTCAAGGGCAGTTGATGACAGCAGACTCCTGGTGTCCCCTTGCACAAACACCTCGGGATCCTTTCCTTCACTACAGCTACCTCTGCCCCTATCAACCATCACGGGAGTGAGGGACTCCAAGAGCCTCACAGTGATTCCTCTGGTGCAGAAGTGGAATAAAAGCTTAGGGCCGAGGCCAAGCTTTCAGCCTAAGGCTGTGATGTGAGAAAGCCGGGGTACCAGGAGCCTGCCATGGGCTGCATCCTGGCAATGCAGGATCCAATCCCGCAGGCAATCCTACAGGACCAAAGAGACCAAGGCAGCTCTCCGGGGTTAAATCGTACCTGGAACCGCGCTGGTGGCTGTGGCTCAGGAGAGCACCAAAAAACGGCTTAAAGCCACCTTCCTGCGTCCTGCTCTGTGTCTCACAGCTACTCTCAACCGTTGTTGATGCTTTGGCTAATCTGCAGCTCAATTGTGCAGGATTCTTTTATTGCGTCTTTGTTGTTCAAATATAGCAAGTCACTGCTGATTTTAATACAGAAGGGAGGGAGAAAAAGCGCAGACATTTCTATTGAAAGTGAAACAGAACAAAAAGTCATTGGGCGTCCTGAAATCACCTCTTTCTTTATCAGAACCACATGGGCAGGAGGCAGGCAGCTGACATCTTCGGGTCCTTCTCTGCTGTTTCAGCAGAGGGATGAAATCCAGTCCAAGGCAAAGAATTTAATCTGAGCCAATTGCTTTTGTTGGCCTGCAGAGTAGAGAGATGGTCTGTATTAACACACAACATGTTTCTGGAAATTGTCTGAGGTTAGAATAAATCGGTTTGGGATTACATGATGTATCCCTATTTATATTAGGAGTACTTCAAATGAAGAAATCTCAAATATAGCAGCTATTTATATAGTGAACAGAAGGACTACGCCAGAAAGGTTTGCATGGGCTTGAACTGTGTGCACAGAGGGTAATCGTCCATAGGTACTTTGTGGAGGTTTTCAATTTGCATGCCTTGTGCAGACAACTCGCACGTTTTAGAAAATTTGACTTTTTCTTTGTCCAGTGGCACACTTCTCAGCCATTTCTTAGAATTGCGGGTTTTGAGGGAGGGAATGCCGGGGATGTGAAGTTGCTAATGGCCCCTGGGCTGAGCGAGGGGCACTGCTCAGCTCCCGGGAGGTTGCGGTGTCGTTCCCGGGGCTGAATTCAGCTCGTCCCGGTTTGTGAAGGTCAGCTGCAGCGTGCAGAGCTGGGGTAGCTCAGTTGTTATTAAATTGACTCCTCTGTTAGGCTGCTATTTTGCAGACCTGCTTCCCGTGTGCAACCAGTAGTAACAATGTCCTTTTCATCTCTTTTTATCCGTTTCCCGGGCCTGAGTGGGTCAGAATCCAGGAGCTAGCATCTTTCAGTGGCAGTGCACTCCCTTCAGACAGAGGGGATGGAAGTAATGTCCGCCTTGCAGACGATGAAATATCATCTGTGGAAAATCAGTCTGAGCTCTAATGACAAAAATCTGTGTGATGTACAAGATGACACTGAATTTGGCAACGTCATCACAGAAATGTTAAGCTAGGAAAAGCATCTGGGAATGGAAATATTTTTAGAGTGTTCTGTAAACAGAAAAAAAAAGAGCAGTAATTAAAACAAGGCCAGCAGTGAGGTCTACTGGCTGTTACTCTGCAAGAAGCCAGCTAAGGAGGCCCAAAATTAGAAGGCCCTTGCTTTGCTTTGGTGGAAAGACACCCAAAACAATTTTAACATTTCATTTGTTTTGTCTTATCATTCCTGATTCTTAAATTGAAGTAGTTTCTATCTTAGCACAACAGTGGTGCTGCACCAACACCCCTGCCAGTCGGTGCACCGTGGGTGGCTCTGGGTGATGCCGCAGGACGCGATTGCTTTGCTTGTGACATCGCACGTGTGCCACCAGTGCTGTATAGCTTACGAGCACCATATAGCCAGTGATACCAGCAACTTCTTCCCTGTGTATAAGTCTCTTGGCAGAGAAGGACGTCTGGTTCCCATTACCCGTAGTGGTCTGGAACGTACCCGCGATGGCTGAGACAACAGCATGCGCCGGCCCCTTCGTCGTCGTATGGAATCGCAGAATGGGGAGGCTCAGATGGGGTTATTAGCCTCGAAGAATATATTTGCTAGTGAATAAGCTATACTAAAAGAGACGCAAGAAGAAAGAAAATGCTCTGCAAGACCCCTGCGCTCTCACTGCTTCACCTTTTATGTTCTCTTAGTGGTCCACAAACAGCGTTGGCCAAGATCTGCATAAGCAACTCGGTTGCACTTAAGCACCTTGGCCAAAGAGGACTCGCTGGAACGGGAACTTGTGTCCTTTTTGTTGGTGCCCATTCCCTACTCAAGCTGCTTGTGGTGGCCAAGCATTGCCATGTCCCGTGTGTCAAGTGCCTCAAGTTTCTTCTGCCATTCAGGAGCAGTTTTTGCCATTGCAAAGCTCCATCACTACATGGCTACCGTGGGGTATGGGGTGGCTAACATGTCTCAGCACGCTGTTCAGCGCAAGCCAGAGAGATGCGCTGATCTTCTTGCCTGTAGAAATAATGCTTTTGGGAAGTCTGCTGTGTCCAACCTTATGGGATTTCTGTCTGCTTAAATTTTGTATGACAAGGAAGAATCTGGACTTTAGTTTTTACTCTCTGAAAAGTTGTCTTTTAGAGGTACACAAGGAGGGCGGTTATTTAGACTGGAAATTCATAGGAATGACTATATACTGGGAGGTTATTTTAGATGTAAGATGTGTTGGCTTGTTATACGTTGGCCCAGTACTTTTCCCATATGAAGAAATGTTTTGGCAGGCATTAGCATTGTTTTACCTCTTTTTTTAAAAAAAAAAGCACTCCAACAAGCACATTATTTATGGGTATTTTTGAATATATGTTATTAAACGCTTTAATATATCAGAATGTTTTAAAATGACCACCCGTCTCTGCTAAAGCTTGAGTACTGTAACTCTGACCCATAACTTTTCAGGAACGTTGAGTATTTCTGTTGTTTCCTTCCAAATGGATTAAAGGAAGCAACGCCAGCACAACTGACATGAAGTGCTAGTTCTTGCTCCAGCTGTATGTTGTGTATGGCAATACTTTTACCCTATTAAGTCACTTTTATTCCCCCAAATATTGTTTAGTTAATTAAAGGCATACAACGGGAAGCTAGTTTTTAAAAGTCTGAAACTAGAGAGCTGCTCAGCTCTGAGTCAAGGCATATTTTTTGCAGGGGAACTGTTTGCAGAAAAAAAAAACCCAAACCAACAGTTCTGCCTTTAATTTTCCTCCTGTGGCAAATATTTGGTTTTCACTATGATACAAGAGAGACTTAATCGAATTACTTTCGGTACTTTGTCTATAGAAAACCCTCTTTTGAATACTCAGACGAGGCGCTGGCAGAGGGGTGCTGCCTGCAGCCCGCCCGCGCATCTGCGCCCTGGGCATGGGTGTTTGACTGACCCAACTTCCCTTGGGATTCAGAGACCTCATTAAAAGCGGAGACTTTTACTAGCATGTGCTTTCCAGGCTCGCCTGCTTAGCAAAACTCTCAAGGTTGTTGAGGGCACTGTGATTACCTGAAGTGTTTGTGGAAAGATGTTTTTCATTAGAGATGTTTTCAGCTTTCTTATAAGTTTCCTCAGAGTCAGCACATCAGTTTATTCTGGAGTGTGAAAAATAGGTCAGAAACTTGTGAGACCACAACTCATCGTACCATTCTACTTATGGAAACCAGGTCTGGGGTTCCATCCTGGACCATAGCCAGGTTTTAGCCATGTCACACCTACACAGCTTTGATGTGCGGCGTGTTGTGTTTCATGCACATTCCTGCCTCCTAAGAGGAAGAACAGCCTTTAAAGGCCAATTTCCCAGTTCCCGTAAGGAGACACCTCTCTTTGGAGCAGTCTCCGAGATACTCATTGATTAGGGAGTAGGTAGGCTAACTCAGGAGACATGCAGTGGTCAAAGAGGAGACTTGCATCACTTTGGAGACATGTAATTACCCCACGATGGCTTATCTACCAGAGCCTGTGAATCCTGCTCCAGAAAATCCTTCCCTGCTGTATTTTCTAGCTCAAATTTCTCCTGGCTACAAGAAGGTCAGTGGTCCTGGGTAGCTGCAGCCCAGTGACTGTAAGCAGGCAAACTGCCCACTTGCTGCTGGCAAAGTGCATGCATCTCCACTTAAACATTATGCTTCTGTTGCTTGTCCTGCAGAGAAGTCCCAGATTATAAGAACAGAGAGGGGTGAGGAGAAGGCTATTTTAGGGCTGATTAATGACAGCAAGCTTGTAAAGAGAAGATAGTCCGCACGGTCGGTCATAAGATCTGTTTTCTGCCGTAGCCTACGCAAAACCTTGTTTTCTGTTTGAAATCCTTTGGGCAGGAAAGCACCTTGCGCAAGGCCACCCAGAAGCGCTGTGGCACGGCCAGGAACACCAGTCGGGAATCTCAATTCCCAGTCCCGCCTGTGCTTAGGATGAAATCACAGTCCCCGCCAGCGTATCCCCGTGTGCTCCAGCCCAGCAACTCTGCTGGTTACAGCATCAGTTCCTCGCAGCCTGGACGAGCACACGTGTCCTAACTTCCATGTAGAAATCTGCTAGTCAAAGCACGGAGCTGGGAGTTGTTACATCTGATCGCAGTGCAGACAGGCAGGATGCATCTTAAAACATTTTTCCTTAAATGTTCCCAGAAGAACTGATGGTACGTGCTGGGCCTTGCCCTGTGTGATCAGTGTCTTTTGCATGGCATGGAGCCAGAAGCTTAGTTTTCCATATCATTTTGTTACAGGAAAACGTTGAATACACCTGAGTGCAGCTCTCTCCGAGCAGTAATTGAACTGAACTAGCTGCGGCATTGCACCTGCGGTGACTGTCTTTGAACAAAATTATGAGATTTTCAGCAATAATGCAGCATGAGAAGCCTGTTCGCTGACACAGGCGCCCTTCGGAAAGGGCCGATGCTTGTTAGGAAACATCCCGGTTGTCAGCTTCCCTCCCGTGTAACACTGCAGAGGACCTAGCCCAGACCCCCACGTCCTGGTCTTGCCTCCCAGGAGAGCTGCTGGGAACCCTTATGGTAGAAAAGAGCAATTTTAAGCTGCTACCTGACACTGTTGAGCCAATCTTACCTTTAAAGAAAAGGGTCTCCATCTCAAGGGGGGTCTGCCCAAGGTCCCTCTCTGGCACAACGGTGGGTGGCCTCTCTCGTGCGCTGCATACGGAACAGCTTTTTGTACCAACAGCTTGCATTTAGCACACTTCTCACTTATGAAGTTCACAAAAAACTCCTCGCTTTAGCACAGGCTGAGTATGCCCCAATTTTCAATTCTCATTAGCAGTGCCCTGTGTGCGTGCGTGCAATTCGCCCTGGTCCTGTGCAAGAGACTCATCCGGGTGCCATTATTTTTGTGACAAACGTTCTGTCCCTCTGCCTCATAGCTGTGAACACGTGTGCCCTGAACAACGGCGGCTGTCAACACGACTGCGTGCAGGTGACGCTCACACAGCACCACTGCCAGTGCCGGCACAATTACCAGCTGCGGGAGGACGGCAAGCACTGCGTCTGTGAGAGCCCTCGAGCATGCGTGGAAGCTGGGGAGGCAGAGCTTTGCTTTGGTCTTTTTTTCAGGGGCAGCTGAGACTTGGGGGGTGGAAGGAGGGAGCATGCATTTGCACGCTGAGATGTCAGATCAGACCGGGGTGTTTCTCTCCAGTAAAAACTGCATGGGATGTTGTCACGGACACATTCTGCAGCTTATTCTGAAAGGCTAGGAAGAGCTGAAGAAGTGTCGCCAACAAGAATGAAATTGTATGAAGGCATGAGAACGTGAAGGAACAGCAGCATGTCGTAGCGGGACGGGATCTTCTCTCTCTGCTTGCAGACAGCTTTCTGGCTGACCCAGTCGTGGCTGCAGGAAGGAGAGAAGCTGAAGGGGATATAGAGCAGAAGTTTAATCTTCTCATTCATAGCAGCTGGCATTGAAGAAGTAGGAGGAGGGAAGTCTTTAGCTGTGAAGTTGCTAAGGGAAAAGGAACAACTGGAATATTAAAAAGGCAGCAGGCGGTAGGGTTTTGTAGCATCTGTCCAGGTCCTGGGGCAAGTCAGAGATTGACAAAGCTCTTGATAGGAACACTTGAAAAAAATTTGCCTAGCACTTGCTCTGTAATCTCCGTAGAGGGACATGCCCATGCCAAGCTTCTGCTGGAAAGGTTATACCCAGATTAGTGCCTGCCTTTTGCAGGATCTCACGCCACGTAAAACCTCCTGCCTGGATGGAGCAGTAAAGAGAGATTTTTCTGCCGGGCAGAGAATGGTCCTTCATGGATTGCAGACTTTTTTGCTAGGCATAACTGCTCGATGCTCTGTTCTCCCATAAGCATAATGCCAGTAAGAGCTAGGATTAGTATGAAATAAGCCTGCCCCTTCTGCTTTGACCTGCAGTGAGGAACCCCTGCACCGACAGGAACGGGGGCTGCATGCACCGGTGCCACAACCACCACGGAGCAGCCCGCTGCGAGTGCCACCCTGGCTACCGGCTGGCCCCTGACGATAAGGCCTGTGAAGGTAAGCTCCCTACTGCAAAGCTTTCGTGGAGAGAGACACCTGGGTCTCCTGAGGTAAAGCAGTGCTCAATTGTAGTAACTGTCAGCATTTGTGAATTTAACGGAGTGATGCATGAGCCTACCAGCGGGCTGGCATGGCAGCGCTCAGTTGATGTCTGTCCAACAGCCCTGCTCGAGTTGTCTGGAACAACCCTTGAGGTTCATGTGATCCAATTTCTTAGGAAGCTTTACAGTAATTCTGAACTCTTAACTCTGTTTGTTGGTCTGAGCCCCAGTGAAGAATTCCAGGTACGAGAAACCAGTGAGAAACTTGAAGATAGTAACAATTGTCCTTTTGAAAGAATGTTTATGCCTCAACCTGCTTTGCTTACTGATTGCTCATCTCTTGCAGATGTGAATGAATGTCTGACTGGACTAGCCATGTGTGCACACCAGTGTCTCAACACTCGTGGCTCCTTTAAGTGTACCTGTAACCCGGGCTATGAGCTGGGGGCAGACGGCAAGCAATGCTATCGTGAGTACTGCATGCAGACCCCCAGCTCAGGCGGGGACGGGAGGTGGGTTTGCTTCTGCAGGGAAGTGTTTGTGCACTGTCCCCTGCGAATTGGTGGGGCCAAGTTATCGCATTCTTTTTTGAAGAATTTCACAAGCAAGTTTGGGGCTCCAACCAAGATGAAAAACTTTGGCTGGTCTTTAAAGTTACCATGAAGGTGCTGGTTTAGGCAATTTATTTGGAGCCATTTGGCCAAGTTCTGCTCTTGGGGACTTCATTGGATGAGTTCAGTCAGCTACAGATGCGTAGCTGAAGAAGGAATTGAGCTAGTGAAGTGATCGCATCTACTCCCATCAAGAAATAAACTCTATTATGCGAGAATGAGTCAGATTGTCCATACATCTTTGTTCAGCTAATACACATCAGTAGGGATAGTCCAAAGCAGAGCTATCAGCATTTAGCACTAGCAGCCCCCTTACAGATGAAAGCCACCATGGCAGCCCCAGTGCTGGCAGCTGGTGTTACTGGAAGCCGTGGTGCTCCACCTGTGCAGCTGCTGCAGCTCTCACTGGGAACCTGCAAAGGGTATGAGGGTAAGGCTTTGCAGACCATAAATGGGTCTTGACAAGCGTCAAACAGAGCAATGTGAGGAGCTGGACTGATGACGTGCTATTTAAGAGCCTAACCTTTCTTGCTAGGAACATGGTTTATCTCACACTGCATATTCTGGAAAAAAAATCCCATAGCTCAGTTTCATGTTCAACTGCACATTTACCTTCAACTGTTGGGGTAAAAATGCATGATAGCCAGCGAGGCTTACAGAGGACTGGATTAGGAAGCCAGGTCTATGCCTAATAAATCTTAGCTACCTCCTCACCTAGCACTGTGACTATGCAGCAGGGAAGATTACCCTTTGTGGCTTCAGCTAACTGGCCCACAGGTGACAAAAAGCTCAGTTTTGTCCCTGCTCGAGTCTTGGTTTTCCAGATAAGCCCCTGGTAAGAGATGCCAGCCCTGGAGGGTCACTTTTGACAGCAGGGACAGTGGAAGCACAAGCCCCACTCACATTCTGATGTGGTTTCTCCGGTTGCGACTGACTGCCGTAACCGTTGACAATACCTCTACTTTGGTGCCAACTATAGAATTAAGTAGCCTTCTTGTATGAAAAATGTTTCTCCCTGCCTCTTCTAGCACATTTCTTTTATCCAAAACCCTGGTTGTCCTTGCACTAGTAAGAAAATGAAAGACAAAAAGACTGTATTCATATTGTGAAATCTGGAAGATAGTCTTCCACCATGGCACAGCTTTTGATTTTGACATGCACAGATCCATTGGGAAGCATCGAGCTCCCCTGCTTTCATCCTTCTTGGGTCTGAACACACTAAGAACTCAAAAATGATCTTGAAGGCAGAAATTGTTTTCCTGAGGTTCAGGACTGAGTCAAAGCTCCATGATACAAGTTCCTTTTAATTTTGAGAAAGCTCAATTTAACCAGACAAGTTTACATAAACTTTGCCAAGCTAAGAATATATATGGCTGCTATTTATGTTTGTGCCTAGCTGTAGGCATCAGGATGTTTCCGTAACGACCTGTATTCTGCTGCTCCCATTTCTAGCTGGCATCGGAACAGCTCTGTACTTGCAAAGACCGAGCCAACTTTTGGTTGGCAGCACACACCGCAGCTTGTCAGGAATGGGAGCAGTTTTGTCTGCAGTCTCATCTCGGAGATTGTCCAGAGCCTGCTCCACAAGTCTGTCCCTAAGAGGCTACACAGGGCGTTGCCTGGGATCCATCGGTTTATTTTTATACATCACTTCCCAGCCCAGCAGTGGCCTCTGTGCAAAACTATTTTCATCCTTTCCCTGCTGCAGATCACTCTTCTTCTCAGCAGGGCCGTGCACACAATAATGCACACGCAACGAGCTCGACTGGAAGCTGCCATGTGGGTGCCTGCTCCAGCGCAGCACCAAGGGAAGGCACGGGCCAGCCACTATGTGCCAAAGTGCAGCACACACTGCAGGATCCTAACCCTTGTGCCTTTTCCAGGGATAGAAATGGAGATTGTGAACAGCTGTGAAGCCAACAATGGGGGCTGTTCCCATACATGCCACCACACCAGCTCTGGCGCAGTCTGTACCTGTAACTTTGGCTATCGGCTTGAAGAGGACCAGAAGACGTGCACTGGTAAGGCAAGGAAAAAGGTACATATCTTGGTTTTGCAAGCACATCTCAAGTAATGAGGGGGATCTCCATATGTTAGCTACTCTGTGTATACGCACTACAAACAGGTTAACAAGGCTAGAAACGGCTGCAAAGTAACAGGAGATGAGATATTGCTCTGCTTGAGGACATCCTCAAACCTCCACTCAAGACCTACCTGGACAGCAAATGTTGACTTCAGAACTAGCTTTTGCCCCTGAAACTCATCTAAGGTGGCATTGGCAGATAGAGACTTGCGTCTCAGATACCTGTAAGCCTGCGTCTAGAAGGGGTGATGCTCAAAATATACCATCTAGCCTGTTATCTCAAAGGAAGCAGTGTAATTTAAGTGAGTGATGTGGATGAGTCACTAGCTGCAAGCCAGGTCTAGTTCAGCCCCATCCAGTTCGATAAAGTATGTGGTAATGGAGAGGTAAGGGTGAAATGCACCTCAAGCTCTGTAAATGCTATAAAGTTGAGGCATACATAGGCATACTTTTTATATTGCATTACTCTGAGCCCCCTGCAGCAAATAAGTCGGTCAGAAACCCACTGGTCACTAGCCGGACATTTACTGCACCAGTGTGTCGAGCTGTGGGCTCAGACTTGCACAGCAAGGCTGGGTGGGTGTTTCCATCCTCCAGACAGTCCAAAGGTGTAAGAAATCCTGGTGCCTTTCCTGAAGGTTAGTTGGAAGGTCTGTGCCTCAGGCAGTGCATTGAGGCACTTCTATCTAAAGCCACCTCTTTCCATAAAACCAGCAAACAGGAGGTTGCTGGCAAAGAGTAACAGGGTTTAGTGATGCAAAACAGTACTTAGATATTTCCAGGCAGCGTAGAGTTGCAGGTCACATTACTCAGGAAATAATTCTTGAGTTTGTTCCTTCTTTGTTCAGTACCACATTCTTCCTGCAGCTTTCAAGGAAGATGTCTGCCCAGGACCTCTGTTAGGAACAGGTACACTCCTTAGCAGGCTGCCACGGGCACCCACATTTCCTTGTGCAAAGCGAGAGGAACCCCAGATCCCCAGGATATTTGCTTTCCTCCGCAGCTCTGAGGAAGCAGTAGGAGCCGTCTCCACGCAACATCACAACACAGGAGCAAAAAAGCCAGGACCTGAACTGAAGTCTACTCCAAAAGAACATTATTCCTTTGTGTGCTACAAAGCCCAGTAAACTTTCTGTAGCCCAGCAGCGCTATTTGTTTTCCTTCCAGATACCTCCTTGGCCCAGCCTCCTCTGGCAGTAGGGGAATGCTTCACAAACCCCTCCTCTACATGGGCACCGCAGTAATTCCGCTTCATAGCGGACAAGTGTCCCATAATACAAGGGGCTTGAAATTTAAAGCTGCTTTCTCCAGGTCATCTAGATCCATCCTTCAGAGACTTCATTCTGAGACAGTTCGAAGGAACCATGCAGTTCTCAACCATCTCTGAACTCAACATCAGTATTTGTAACAGGGTAAATCAGAAAACAAAAGTCAGTATTACAGTTGCAATCATTCCCCATTTGTAAGCACACGAAACCTTTAACAACAATCTTGAACTGAAAATCACAGTTAACTTCCCACAGGCCCCTAGGATTCAGGATTCCTCCCTTGGCCAGGGAACATATAGCAGAGGATGATCTATTAACATAGAGCTCACTCATTTCAAGAGGAAAACACGAATACTAGCTCAGCATTTGGCAGTCAGATCCAGTAAAAGCTTACCAGAACTAGTCACGGAGCAATTTTAACAAATACTGTCACCACTGCAAAGCTAGATGTATATTAACATCCAGTGTCCTTTGTTTTTTATTTAGATATCAATGAATGTGACAATGGTTCTCACTGTTGTCAGCAAGACTGTTACAATTATCCTGGAGGCTACGAGTGTGCCTGCTATGCTGGATACAGGCTCAGCACAGATGGCTGCGGGTGTGATGGTAAGCAGGAACACCTACCTGGACTCCTGCAAGTAAACCAGCAACACTGCAGTCCTCAGCCTCGCAGCATGGCGAGACACACACGCAGAACGGGTTCCTCTGATTCTGGTTTTCTGCAGTTTGTCAGCTTCCTCAGTTTGCTTAGTGTTAAGGCAACTCAGCTATTCTAACCCATACTCTAGTCCAGCACAACTGAAGAGTAGCAATGGGACTTTTGAACACACTGAATTCAAACCAGGATAACGTAAAGTGAGTTGGTCCAGGTCTGACTCCAATAATTCACAGAAATTATTTTGTGTTCAACCCCAGAGGCAAACATTGCCCATCATTTTCACCCAAGAGATACAGGCAAATAAAAGTGTCTGTATAAAATACAGCTAAGATGGTGCCTAACACAAGCTTTTAATAAAGAGAACAGGAAATTGTCCTACTTGGTTGTGAACAGCCAGGCATTTCTTCCAGTTTCTCCCAGTTCATACCAGTTTTCCTGTCACCTCTCAGATGAGTCACCTTCTTCACATAAAGAAGGTGGGTTTTTTTCCTCCAAGTAAGTTGTTCTCACTACCAAAACTCTCCAGTAACATTTCACAGGTGAAAAACCAAGCTTACCCACCTGTTTCTACACAATTAGTGACAGTTGTGAGCTGAAACCCAGAGCCCCCTGAACCACTTGGGCAATCTCACTCAATTTTGAGAGTCAGATGGCTTGACATAGCAAAGAGGATGCCATCAGCCTGCTTGCTAATCTGTGGACAGAAATATATGTGGGCTCCTGTCCTGTACAGATGGCCTGCTCCCATTACACTGGTGTATCCTGTGTTTTTTAGATGTGGATGAGTGCTCTTCAAATAACGGTGGATGTGAACACACATGCCAGAACCAACTAGGGTCTTTCCAGTGTGGCTGTGAGATTGGATACAAACTGGATGAGGACCGAAGGAGCTGCATCTGTAAGTGCAAACATCTGTGGGCTGCGGTTGAGCAGCTGGTTACCCTCCCTCCTCTGCCCGCTCCCCCTGGCACAACCTGCCCTGTACACAGCCCGGTCAAGCCAGGACCAGCACAGGCTGGAGCTCCTTAGCCCTGCACACCACCTTTTCCAGCTTTTTCACAGCACTTACTACTATTAGCAGTCAAAATGACTCACACAAGCTTTCCCCTGACACAACCAGTCCTATTTCAACCACATCACACAGCACTTTCCAAAGAAGTGTAGGGGATTTTGGCACAGCTACACTTAGATAGTCTGCAACGATGACTCCACATCAGCCAGAGATCCAGAAGCCTTTCCATAGTCACCAACCTCTACAGCTTTTCCTTCTAAGAAATAAGGGATTTATTTTTTAAGTGGTAGTGTCTTTATCCCACCACCAAACACACTGTTACACAACTTACTCACTTAGTAGTGCAGCCAACACCCCACTCTTCATCTAGTGACCCCCAGCAGCATCACCCAAGTCCCTGGAAAGGCTTCCTGCAGAAAAGCAACACTCAGTGCCTCCCTACACTGGCAAAATGCCCGAGCCTCTTCTGGTCCCTTGGCTTTTATAGGCTCTGCAGCCCCTGCCCTGGTTCCCAAGTGTGACTGGGCTTAGTTTGATTGCCTGGCTTTTAACCCTTGCCTAACCTGCAAGGGAAGGAAACCCATAGCTGTAGCTGATAAATGCTCTTCCCCAAAGGAGAAGCAAGCTGAAATGCATTACTTAATTTTGTTAGATGGGCAGTCTTGTTTAATTTTCCAGAAAAAAAATTCACTTACCTGAAAACTCAAGGAAGCTGAGTAGCTCTGGTCAGAAAAACTGCAGGGCGAAGTTGATGAGGTGAGTGTGAGCTCAGTATTCTGCGAAGCCAGAGCTGTGTGTCAAGGTTAAGATCAAAGCTTCTCCTATAGGTTTTGAAGTCACTTAGCTGGCCTGTGCCCATTCTAGCCAAAATAAAGAAAACAAGTTGCAAAATATTTAGAGGTGACAATATAGAGAGAGATCAGTGTTGCAAACCATGCCAAATCAGATGCACCAACCCTGTACAGCTATTTCTGGTTTCCCTTTCCTATTACTGAAGGTCTGTCATACTGTTCACCTCTTGGAGATCTTGTCTCTTTTCCCACTTTGACATTGTCATCTCCGTGACTGCTTCCCTAGCTATAGAGGACGCTGTGGAAGCTCTGGATGGTCGGCGCCCCGTTATCCGCCCAATCCCTCATGTTGCAATCCTGCGAGATGAATTTACCCAGCTCTTTAATGATGACTATGAAGAAGAGGAGGAAGAGATGGAAGCAAGAGGAGAGCACACACTTTCAGAAAAATTTGGTGGGCATTTTGCAGCAGTGGTAAATGGCATACTTTGCTTGGAAGTCTTCAGAATTAATCACGCATGCTGGGTTTATTTGTGTTTGGTGACCGTACCCACAAAACTTGTCAAGTGCCTTTTCTATGTACACAGGACCTGTATTACAACACAAATGCATTTAGCTTTGCCACAGCCTGTGCATGGTGGGGTGGTTTCTCTGCTCAAACTCTCCTAGATGCTGAGGCGGCCTTGGGGACGGCTTTTCACCTGCAGCACCTCTCGTTGCAGTCTGCCTGGAGCACACCTTCGGCCCCGACTGCAGCCTGACCTGTGAGGACTGCCAAAACGGAGCCACGTGCAACGCGGAGGAGACCGGCTGCGACTGTCCGGCAGGCTGGACCAGCATCCTCTGTAACCAGAGTGAGTGATGCTGGAGGGCGGTGGGTGAGAAAGCTCTTCTCATCCCTGCTCCGGGATGCACGGAGGCAGGAGCTGTATGCGAGGTTGTGGCAATTGGCTGAGTCTCCTCTCTCTCTCTTGTCCCAGCCTGCCCGGCCGGCACCTTTGGGAAGAACTGCAGCCTGACCTGC